AGTAGACTTTATTTGTTTCTGTTTTACATACTTATGCTTAAAAATAAGGTTCTGTGATAAGGTCCCCCTACTGAATGAAGAGTTATGCTTGAATTATACTCTGTGTATTGGGATGGGGTTACGTAATCATTCTATGATGCACGGGGCTGTAGACAGAAAACTGGAGAGGCTCTGGTGGGGGTGGTGTCAGAGAGGTGGCTGTGGGAGCCATGGAAATGGGTGCTTCTCAGCAACAAATTCAAACGAAGATTGTTTCTGAGGAGTTTAGGTGGAAGTAGGAAGGAGGAAAGGAAACAGTAAACACGGGGATGTGGAATAAATGGTGTTTCATCGTGGGAATTGCAATCAGGGAGCTGAATGAAAACGTGTCCGCATTGTAGCACGCAGTGCTGATGAGCTGCGCCACAAACCTTCATCCAATTCACAATAAAAGTAGCGTCTAAAATATTTTAAAGAGTTTTTCACTCTACTCTTAAAGTAATGGGCCCTTATGGCTTTTTTTTGAACCACCTTCTTCCGATCCCGAGACCCAGCAATTTCCAAGGCTGGAACATTTTCATTCCTGTAGAGTAGTGGGAGGGTTCAAACTGCAGACCTGCTGGGTAGCAGCCCAAGGAATAACCCACTACGCCACCAGGAATCCTTTCCTTTTGTGCTCTTGGCCTAACCATATCCGATGCCTTCTTATTTTGGTTCACCTCTTAATTCGATGCAGTGACACACAGATAGAACGTGTGCACAAACTTGTAATGTGTAGCACGCTCTTCAAAACCCTGCCCCCCCCTTGCAGCTCCCAGGCGTCCACCACCGCGGCTTTCCCCTTTCCAGAGGTGGCGCTCGGAAAGCATTACGCTGTGTGGCCGCTAGAGGGGGGTAGCGACCCCACCCGTGGCGCTGTACTGTTTGCGGGTTGTGCTAAGGCTGTGTTTCCCTGGCCCCAGACAGACCCAGCCCAGGTGTCTTGCCCGGAAGCAGGAAGACTTTTGGTTTTCTGGCTTGGAGGCAAACTGCATCTTCGCTTTGCTCCTCTGGAAGGTTTTTTGGCTTGATAAAATTGTGGCATTACGGGCATTGTACGTACGACTCCAAAACCCTTATGAGTCATTTTCCCAGAATTTTCACAACACGAAAAGAATACTTTTTGTATAGAATTTCAGGTTTCTTTCCAAAGCAATTCACATGTATTATCTCAGTGCAACCTAGTCAACAAATGTGTCTATTTGGGTGGTCAGAAGATATTATTAGCGTCCTTTTAAGAATCAGGAACGCCCGGATGAGCTGCCTGACCTATGAAAGGTAACTGGGCTAAGGCTACTGACTCCGAGGGTGCGGCAGCCCCTCTGCTGAGCTGCCCCTCACAGAGCGGATCGATGGCTGGAGTAAGCTATGGGGCAGGCCTGCAGGTTCCCGGGGGCCTGGGCTCACTGGGATTCCTGGAAATGTGACATTTCTGCAGCACGGTCCCTGGTGAGGCCCAGCAGCACCTCCCACTTACCCGGGGAGACAAGGCCCGCACTCAGCGTCGTTCTCCATGTCCCCCGGCGTCAGCACGGTGGCCCGGAAGAAGCCCTCACAGTCTTTGTGGCGCCGGCAGATCTGGTAGCCTCCTTTGGAAAACTTCTCCGCAGGACATGGGACGCAGTCATAGTCGTCATCTTTGCTACCATAGCCACAGGACTGCAGGGGAACAGGTCATGTGTGCGTGCGACTGCAGTGCCTTGACTCTCAGCAGTGCACACAGGGTGGACCGAGG